CTTGAAAACTTAGAGAAAACTAAACCCATAAAAGGGAGCAGAGAAAATCAATTATAGCAGTTCACAGGAAAGAAGAAAAACTGTGAAGATATAGGTTTTATACATTCATGTCCCTGTTCATTCAATATACTGCATCAGAATTTTACAGATGGGAACACAGTAAGGAGTCCTGTGATCATCTGAAACCACTTGTAACTAATATTTTGTGAAAGAGGCAATAAAGACCGGATTGGATTTTGTGCGATTGGTAATTATTCACATTGTTACTTAAGGAAAGAGGATCAACCGGAATTCAAAATTCAAAATTCAAATCCAGCAGGAAAATACACGGGGAAGAACTATTTTCTCACATAGCAGGCGCTGGGCATGAAGCTCTGGGTGGGGGGGGGAGGTGTAAATCTACGGCTGCAGCTAGGAATTGCTTTACTTCATTCATCTCAAACTCTGCTTTTCACGCTTGGCGAGTTCCTGACACAAACCACACACGCCGTGTCCCAGCGCGGCGGAGCAGGCGCGCTCTCCCGGCCGCGCTTCCCCCACGCCCCGCGCCGCGGCGCCGCTGGGCCCCGGAGCGGACAGACGGACGGACGGACGGACGGACGGGCGGGCGGACAGACGGGCGGGCTGCGGGGCTCTCTCCACCTGCCCGCGGCCGCCCGCAGTGCCCATGTTCGGGGCGGGCAGGTACAGCATCCCGCGGCCCGTCACCAGGAACCTGGAGGACCTGGACTCGGTGCAGAGCGTCCTGCTGCACAGGTCAGTGCCCGCCGCGGGGAGCGGGGTGCCCGGCACCGCTGCTGCCCGGCACCGCTGCTATCCGAGATCTCTTCGGCCCGGGATCTCTTCTGCCCGAGATCTCTTCTGCCCGGCATCGCTGCTGCCCGGGATGGCTTCCCCAGCTCGGCAGCCTCCAGGACCCCCGTCCCTCCGCAGGGCAGCGGAGCCACCCGAGCCCCAGCGAGCTCCCCTTTGGCGGGGGCTGCCCCTCTGTGCACGGCAGGGGAAGCGAAGGGAAGGGGAGGCTGCAGGCAGGGAGCCGAGGCGCACAGGGGTTCCCCTTCCTGGAGAGAGGAGGATGTGCAGGTGAGGGGCTCTTACATGTGCAGAGAAACGTGCGGATTCTCTTTAATGGGTTGATGCTGTTGCATGCATGCCATAAGCGTTTTGAACCCTTCGCTAAGGGCAGGGGATAATGTATTCTAACTCGCACACAAATCCACGAGGGATGGGAAAGAAGTCCTTAAGTGGATGTACAGGAGGCGGCACACTCTACGAGAAGCAGCTGCTTTTCCTCCTGCTTTCACCATCCCTAACGTGCCATTTTCCACGGTATCCCCCTACAAAGGCATCTCGACAATAGGATCTTGCCCAGATCTGAAAGCCACCCTTAATGGCATTTTCCATGTGCTTAGCTGAGAGCCGCAGAAACTTTACGCAGAAAAACGCATCCCATTCAGCAGAATCCAAAAGAAGCTCATCTCCAGTTCTGCTAAAGTGTTTCCTGTTTCTCAGCCACGCTGGTTCATTTCCAGCTGCACAGAAAAAGCTCACGGGCACTTCCAGCGCCGGCTCCAAGCAGCTCTCGCTATGGAAACTAACAAGTGGTTGTTAACTCGGCTCAAGGCGTGTGAAATCCATTCCTGTGAGCGCTGGGGATGCAAACACAGAGCTCAGCAAGGAGGGCACGCTGCAATCAGCCTGTCCGGCACGGCTCTCTGAGGCCGCTTTATGCACAATAAATGCGCTCTGTGCAAACAGAACCCCGCGGACTTCTCAGTGACTTAACTGAAAATGTTCTGTTTTAGAGCTGGATTAAAAACGTGCTGCCCCTTGGTATTGCTTACGTTCATGTACTCTAAGAGGAATAAGGCTACTCATGCTTGAAACATTTGCATGTTGACTGACTGCAAATAATGGCTTTCTTTCATGCCTGACATGCCTGCTATGCATAGCAGGTGATCCTAAAAAAAAGGGCATTTAAAACATGTAAGGTGAAGTAAAAGCAGTAGGAAAAAATATGAAAATTACAGCTGCTTTTCATTCTGGAGAAAACTCTTAAATCTATGAGACTGTTTTTCAAAAGAATGGGATGAGTTGTACTGCTCTTCCCAGATTTTTCATGGCTGTCTCCCTGTTGGTTTTGTGTTCTTCTGAAATACCTTTTGTGATGAGAGCTGATACAGAAAGCTTAAGAAGTCAGAATATTCTGTTTCATTTATTGAGCACTAGAGTGTTTGCTCACAAAATTTCTGTCCCTTTGGTCCCAGAGATAGCTTTCATTCTCCGTGGAGTCTGTTTATATGTAAATTTGCCAATTAAAATGACAGCCCAGTGTCACTCTTCAATTCATGCCACTTTGCTGTGGATGGTCTCTGCACAGCCCTGTCAGAGGAGATTTTTTAATCACAGTCTTACAGAGTTTTATGGAAACCTGGTAATCAAAAAAATCTTAATTATTAAGGAATCCTTGTGAAATATGTATTTTGTCCTTTAAGAAACACTTGGGCAGGCGAGGACAAAGTTGTGTTGTTGTCATTATTCTTTAAAAAAGAGGAAATTATTTCTGACATATTTTGCTCATGCTGTTCCCTGGAGAAATATAAAAAACCAGGAATCAATAGCTGAAATATAACATCACTCATATTTTTTGGCTAGCTTTTCTTTCAGTAAACAGGTGTTAGCAAGAAACACAACTGAAAAACAAAGATGAAACTATTTCCCTCTTAGTTTTATCTGTTTGTAACGTATCATGTTTTATCTGTCTATCATTTGTGTCTGTCCAGTTCTTGGTAGAGCCTTCCTGGAAATATTAAGTGATGTGAAATCAAGAAAGGAAAAAATGAAACATTAACAAATCACTTAGGGCCTTCTTACCTCATTATCACTAATGAAGAGCTGCAATTTGAAGCATGGACACCAGTGTGTCCTATACCCTGTCTTCTTTTAACTTCAGTTTCCTTCTGAATACAGGCATGGATCAAGGCAGGCTGTTATTTTTAAAGCACAACAGCTTCTGAAACAGGTTAAGCCAAAAAAAAAAAAAAAAAAAAAAATAACAACAAGAAACTCTTGCTCAGGAAATAAATTTCCACACATGAAAGCTGTTCTTTGCAGGAACAGCAAATCAGAACAACCTTCAGGCTTTAATTTTCCACTGCTAAGTGCTCATTACCCAGTTCTCCAGTGAGGGTGAGCACTGATACTGATGGCAGTGATACCTCCTGGCAGATTTTTACCATCTGCATGTTAAAAACAGCAACTTGGCATAGAAGGCTCATGGATTCCTTAGTGAGGAGCATCAGCCCCAGCTCCTTGGATTAAGTGTGAAGTGTCTGCCAGAAGACAAATTATTTCAAGTTTCATCCTAATATTTATGCCCAAAAAATGACAGGCTTTGCTCTCAAGAGGGATTGTGTGGGAAAATCTGTGTCTTCACTAAAATAAGACCCTGCTGTGTGAGATATATATCCTGCAATCTTTAATTGTTCCCACAGCAGCAGAAATTCCACATTTGTTTCAGCAAAGTCTTTAGGTGGCTCCCAGCTACTCCTCTCAGAGGACCCAAAGCCTTCCATCATCCTTCCATTCCCAATATGCTTATTCCTATAAAATAGCAAGTGGTGTAAAACCACTGGCTCCTTGAGAGAGAGCCTGTATTTCTCACTCAGTGAGCAAACAACTGGAACCAATTAATCAGCTCTTGAACTCAAAGAAATTTAACTAACACAGCACCATCTGGCATTGACTATCACTTCTCTACAGAAACACTCCAGTGTGCTGCTCTGTGTATTAGAAGTGCTTGCAAATTAAGCATAATTAGGGAGGGTGGGACAGTGTATCTCACCTTCTAAATGAAACCATAGTAAAAAAGCTTTTTTCTTTAGGGAGTGTTTCTGTCTCCCTCTCTGGATAGGTTTGTAGTCTTAATAACCATAGGTTTGTAGTCTTAATAACAGAAATTTATCTGTGAAATCAGGTCTTCTTCAGGGACTTCAGAATGGCCCTTCAGTACTTAATATAGGTATTTTTACTCCAGTTGAAGCCTTAATCACATGGATGTGAGTCCAAAACATTTCTGTCTGTTAATTCACTTGAAATCACGCTTGCTAATGTACACTTCCCTCAAGCAATTTCAGACACAGCAATTTCATCCCAGGATTCTGTCACTCCTCTGTAGTGTTCCAGGGCTATAAAACCTCACTGCTGAAGCTGTGCAAATATCCCACAGAGCAGAGATTAAATCCAGCCCACGAAACGTGTTCCAACAATTACTCTCCATCCCTTTCCCCGCTCACCATGTGTGTCCTGACGGCTTTACTGACACAGCTACCCTGCAAGCTGTCTGCAGGGCTGCCATAGGTCTTGTTTTTCATGGATGTGAATAATTTAAGTCCTGAAAACCGAGTAGGGGGCTTTTGTGTGTGTGTGTGTCTCTTGACTGTGCATGATTTTACACGTGTAGACTGCAGGGGCTGTTTTAAGGTATTTGTTTGGGCCCGTCACATCCTCGCTTCTCCTGAACAGCCCTGCTAAGGAGAAAGTACCTTAATTCCTCACAGCTCGTTAAATTGATACAACAGCATATAAAATAAAGCACAGAGGCATCCCATTGCTTACCAGCTGCCCTCAGAACCTCTTTTTACCTCGTGTTTTACCCCTCCTGATCAGTGTTTGGTTACAACGCTCTGCGCCTCACCGCAGGACCCCGGAGTTTCACTGCCGGTGTGTTTCACGGGACGGCTGCTGGGACCGTGCAATCAGGCAACTAAATAAAGTGTGGTGCGGTGCTGTTGAGGCAGGGAAAGGCGTGGAGAGCCGGGGGAAGCCGGGGGACGCCGGGCACACGGCAATTTCCGCGGCCATGGAGGGTTCGCCCCCAGCGCGGAGGGACGGCCCCTCATAGCCGGGCGCTCGCGCGTCCCTCCGTTCCCATGGCGATCGGGGCCGCCGGCCAATGGGAGGGCACGGCGCGCATCACGTGATCCCCCGCCCGGCTCAAGGCTGTCATGGCGTCCGGGAGCGGCGCTGCCGAAGGGATGGAGGCGCCCCGGGGGGAAAGCGCTGAGCCCGCGGGCACCGGCAGCGACACCGACAGCGGCACCGACGGCGGCTCCTCGCTGGCCGCCAGCTCCGAGTAAGGGCGGGGACGGGAAGGGCGAGCCGCGGGGGCTCGGCTGGGGTCGCGCCGCCCGTGCTCAGCAGAGGCGGTGGGATCTGGGCTGGGCTGAGCTGGGTTTAGCTAAACTGGGTTTAGCTAAGCTGGGTTTAGCTGAGCTGAGCTGGGCTGGCTGCAGGAGCAGAGAGCAATGCGAGGTTTCAGGTACATCCCTGCCGAGCCCTGGCGGTATCGCGATGAGCGCTGGGTCCTGCATCCCCCCGGGCAAGCGGAGGGCAAGGAGGGACTTGGCGCAGGATGTAGCAGGAAAGGTGCAGTCTTTCATTTTAGTGTCCTAAGTCAGAAGGGAGTTCTGTAATAATACGTATTTTAAAGTACCTCCGGGCTTTTAGTTAATTTTTATATTTTTTAGTCGGGATGAAGTTAACCTTAGAACATCAGCTTGGTCCCCTGTGTTGACAGCTGTGCTTTACACTTCGAATGTGTATTTCACACATCTTCTAAGTCAAAAGATAGTTCTGTAATAATACGTATTTTAAAGTTACAAATGCAACCTCCAGAGTTTTAGTTATTTGTATATTTTTTAGTTTGGATGAAGTTAACCTTAGAACATTGACTTGGTTCCCTGTGTTACGACAGCTGTGCTTTACACTCTGCATGTGTATCTCACACATCTTCTAAGTCAGAAGATAGTTCTGTAATAATACATATTTTAAAGTTAAAAAAACACCAACAACCTCTGGTGTTTAGTTTATTTGTATATTTTTTAATTTGGATGAAGTGAAACATACAACAACAGTTTGGTTGATTGCAGCTTACAGCACTGACTTGGTTCCCTGTGTTAAGACAGCAGTGCTTGACATTTCCAATGTGTATTTCAGGGTCTAATCAATAGCATTTCATTCAGCGTGTTAGTTTCATCAGGCTGTGCAGGGGAAGGGGAAAAAAAAAAGGTTTAAATGGAGAAGTTAGAATTGTGTTCAAGCCTAGTTTTATTTGTAGTTGCCCTGTACCTCTGGCTCAGAGACAAAGCTGTTTTATCTGCCCCAACCTTACTTTATTCCTATATTTATAAGCCAGAAGTCAACTGTAACATTTCAGCCTGAAGCCATGGGTTTCTAATATTTTTTATGTTTGGGTTTAATGTTTTGTATGTTTAGGTTTTTTCTTTTCTCAATTCTTTCATCTGAAATGCCATTTTACTGTAATTCTTTATGTATGTTTAGGGGATAAAGCTGTACCACAGATTTCAGCACATAGCACATGTCTACTACTTGTAATAACATGTGTAATACTTTTAATAATTTATCTGTATAGCAATTTATCCAGCAGAACTTGAATCCTTTCTAACAATCAGCACAGTTTTTCAGAGATTTATCCCAAAGAGGAAATACCTGTGTGGGATCAGTGAAACTACTCTTAGAGAAATGCAGGCCTTCAAGTCTTTTAGCTCCTTTGACTGAAGCTTCCAGTCCTAGAGGCAAGTTGAGGTTATTGTGTAAGCATTTGTTTTAACACAAGAGAAAACAGATCAAAATAAGATTTTTTTGTCCTTTCTTCTTGCCTTGCTTGGTTTAAATTTATTGTGATGCTACAGCATTAGGGGGAAAAACTTCTCATGCTAGGTGCTGCCTTGTTTCAGATTTGCTTTTCCAGATGTCTGTGTGGATCTCTGTTGGGAAAGTGAGAATTTTTGGGGTTTTTTTACAGTACAGTTCCTTCTTGACTTCTCTCTGGAGTGGTTCTGTTTGGGTGAACACAGAGAAGTCATGCCCACAGCATTTTTTGGCCCATATTGTTCTAATCAAAATAGAGAACAAAGCTGGAGGACTTGAGTGTATGAACTCATGTCCAGGCTGAAATTTTGACATCTACCCCAAAGAAGAAACAGCTTTTCCAAAGATAAGTCTTCTTTAAAGAGGGAATAAAATGCTATCATACATAACAAGAGTTTTTGCTAATCCAGATGTAATTTCTTTGTAAATTTCTAGTGTTTCCTTTTTTGTTTCCTTTTTTGTTTGGGGTTTTTTTTTTTTTTTTGAGGGGGTGGAGTTGGTTGGTTGGTTTGAGGATTTTTGTTTTTTTGTTTGTTTAGGTTGGGTGTTGTTGGAGGCTTTTTGTGTGTTTGTTCTGCTTTATTTTGCTTACACATGCCAGAATGTGGGAGTACTCCTTAAAAAAAAAACAAGGAAAAACTCTACTCATGTTATTTCTTGCCTACCACATTCTGAGAGAAGTTGGATCAGAACGAGTGTGCCCTTGACAGCCTTTAGGTTCTGTCAGCATTCTGATACTTTCTTGCATAAGAACTCAGGATTTTGGAATTCCAAAACTTGGATTTATCCCTCAGGTATTGGCAGATTATCACAAGTGGTGGCTCTTCTTTTAAACTATCTACTTGGGCAAAAAAGCTAATAAATGCAGAGGACATAGGTGATGTTTCTTCTTGTCTGCAAGACCCATAGACTTTTCTCAATAACTGGAGCTCTAGAAAGAGTAATGCCAATGTTTGCTGTATTGTTAGTCCAGCCAGATCCTCTTGTTGAGCCCTTAAAGGTGCTCTGGTGCAATGTCTGTATAATGTTCTCCATTCAGCTAAACTTTGTCATTTATCTGTGTTTTCAAATTAATGATTCTCTATTTGCACTCCTTATTCAGTGAAAGTAGTTCTAGTGTAAAATGTAGGAATGTGTGTTAACTTTAAACTGTTATATTAATTATGATGTAAATCCCCAGTCTTGTTTTTCTTTATAAGCTTTGTATGAAAGAGAGAGACCTCTTTCTCATCTGGTTAGGAAGAATTAACTGGTTTTGTCTATTCCTGAAAATCTTCCATGCAGAACATCCCAGATAATTAAACCTCTGAGGATTCTTCTTACTTTGGCCATTATGGATTCTCATCTATCTGGAGTAACACTCCATGATTCTCCTCGAGGTTCATTTGGTTTTTTGCCCTTCAGCAGGCAGTTTTTGGTTTGTTTTGTTTTTCCTCAGCCCAAAGAGTATGATTTCCTTCAGTCTCCTTCCATTTAAATGTGTTTATAGGCTACATAGCATTTGTCTCTTTGTTCTGGGTGTGTTCCAGTTATTACATCTTCCTTAAAACCTGCTATCCAAAACTGGACATGGCTGACACATCACTGTTGCCAAATTAGGACAAAATTTTTTTTGCACTGTGCTGATGATGTTTCTGTTATATCCTAGACCTGCTTTGCAGAAATGTCTTGCTCTTGCCTTTGGGTGATCCACACCAGCTGCCAGATCTGTTTCTGTAGCAGTGCTGCTGCCTCTTTGCATTTTTAGTGTGCATTTTTGCAGATGCTATTTGGAACTTGGCTTTTAAAAACTGTTCCCTAGATTTCATCTTAGATTGTTTTGGGGTTTCTTTTAATGTTAAATCTAAGTGATTTTTAAAATGTTTATCTTCTCTTTCCAAAGGGCTGGCAGTGCAAAGTGTGTTCCCATAGCATTACAGAATATCCTGAGTTAAAAGGAGCCCACAAGGATAAACAAGTCCATCTTCAGGCTCTGCACAGGACCACCTCAAAAAATCATGCCATAGTTATATTACAAATGCATAAAGGAAAAAAGAACAGGAGAGAACAAACAGAATGGAATTTTTTCTCTTAAGAGAAAATCCCATCATGCACATGAATGTAATTACTAATTAAAACTTGCACGTCAAAGAAATGTTTGTTTTCTGAAAAGAGAATACTGCTTTTTGCAATGGCTGTTTTCCTCTAAGGAAAACAGAAGAAATTTGAAGAAACTATTTTACTGGTGAGAGGGATGTCTCTCCTTGCCATATCCATCATTTATCTAAAACAAGCTCTAATCCTTGTGGCAGACTTAAAGCAGTTGAGCTGTCAATGTTCAGGAGGCAACAATTATTTTTCCTGCTTTTTGTTCAATCCTTGCATTCTCTCTGTCCCCTCCCTACTTAAAATAATCAGATCTCACTTGCACAGTGATCTTCCTTATCAGAACTCATTGATCATTCTTTCTTTTCCAGTGATCTTGAGCCTGAGTGGTTGGATAGTGTGCAGAAAAATGGAGAATTATTTTATTTAGAGTTAAGTGAAAGTGAAGAAGAAGTTCTGCTTCAGAACAGCTGTCCAGAAATGCCAGCAGTGAATCATGTCAGGTTTCGTGAAAACGAAGCTGAAATCATTCAAGAGGGATCACGAAAGGAGAGGAAGTATGAACTGAAGAAATGGACCAAAATGCTAAAAAAGAAGAGTCTTTTACCAAAGAGTTCTGGTAAGAAAGGCAGTGGAAGCTGCAATGAGCACCCCTCTGGTCCTACTTCCATATTGAAGCACCGCTCTGCTCAGAAAATGGGTGTCACTGTTCAGCACAAGTACAAAGATGTGTCTGTGTATGTAAATCCCAGAAAACTCTCCAGTGCTGGGGAAGAAGAGCAGCAGAGGCTGCTGGAAGCCTTAGTAGGGATTGTCCATCAGTCCTCATGGAGCAGCAGAAGAGTGGAAAAACAAGGCAGGAAGGATAAAGTCACCAGAGGAGCCAGTGAGGAGAAGCTTGTGGTACATGGCTTGGTGCCAGGTAGTTCTGCAATGAAAACTGGTCAAATCCTGATTGGTAAGTAACTGAAGGAATAGCCAAGTGCTGCACTCTTCCTTTAATGTGAAGATTTGTGGGGTTTTGCTGGTTGAGGCAGCTGACTTGAATATTCTTGAGACGTAAGCAATTGCATCAGTTCTGCAGGGGTTGCTTTATGTCATTGCATCTGATGGTTTGGTACCCAGTCAGTTTTACTGTGTTACTGCTTTTTAGAACATGTGGCATAACCTAAAAGGTGTTAGTTAATACACTGAGGAGATGAGCATCCCTTAGTGTTCAGAGACTGAGCAGCTTGGAGCAAGAAATACCCCACCACCACCTTTGACTTAGGATTTTAGCTGAGGATTTCCTCAGTAGATAAGTGGGACTGGAGCAAACCTATAGCCTGGCAGATACTGCATTTAGATTTCCTTTTTCTCCACAGCATCCTCCTTAGATAAAAAGCTTTGCTTATATATGCTTTAAATGGATTTTGTATCATAAAAATGAGGGGAGAAATACTGAGTAAGATACATTCTTACATTACAAACTTTCCCCACAGCCTTGTTTGGTTATTTTTCTATTTAGCAAGTCCAACAGCAGCTTCCTCAGCAGTTGTGACTTTGGGAGGCTCCAAATGCATGGCAGGGCTGCAGTTTGGGGAGGCAGTGAGCCAATACAGCCTTTGTGGTGGTTTGGCAGTCAGGCCCTTCCATGAGCTGATGAAATAGGCTGGCAGGAACCTCACCCAGAAGAGAAATTGGCTGTCTAGTATTTTGCTGGTGCAGTAAGTTAAACTGGGGTCACAGAAGGTCTGACAGGCACCCAAATGTGAATGATAGAGGGGAATAAACTGCTGTCAGGGGTAATAAAGGAGCAGAAATACTCCCACTCCAGCACTGAAGCCACTCAAAACTTGGCACTCACAGGACATCAACCTCAGAGACAGTAAATGTGAGACAACCAGGCCACATCTGTAAAGGGTGAAAAATTATTTAATTACCCTTGGAGATGGTTGCTCACAGAGTGGGAGAGCAAAGATGTGAGGTTGGTTAGAAGATCATTAAAAATCTGAATGCTATAAGTGTAGGGGGACACAGTATGGGTAAATGAAGCTGGTACAGAATGCAATCTTTTCCCCCAGAGTTGCAGCTGGAGCAATTACTAAAGATGAGGAGCAGGCCTGATGTTAACAGGCCACACCTGTGGCCAATAAGAGCAGTGGTATAAAAGAGTGGATTGGTGGGGTCTGGAGCCAGATGGCTGCTGCAAGGACCAGGAGCAGTCAGTGCTTGGAGGGGCTGCCTGTGAGAAACATTGAGGAGGTCTGGAACTCTGGTAGTATGGAATCCTTGCACTATAATGATAGAGAAAAGCCTTGATATATAAGACAACACCCTTGCACTATAGTGATAATAGAACTCTTGATATATAAGACAGCATATGAATATCACAAATCCCTCAAAGTCAGCATGAGCTCTTTTGAAATTCCAGTGTTGTGTGTGTAAAAAGGCACATCATGCTTCAACTGGCTGATTGCTCCAGCATGAGTTTTTGGTAGAGATGCTGAAGAATACTCCAGAGGGAGAATTGGATAACTTTCAAATTTTACCAGCAAGAACTGATTAGTCAAGAAGTGGGGGAGGAGAGAGCGAGTTTCCACTTGATCTGCTTAAGGGTGTTTAATCTGATTAGTGTAAGAGTGGGTGTTTGTAACCTGGGAGTTAATTTGGGGACACAGATTTGCATATAACATTTTTGTGGGGGCAGGTGTGAAGTCTCACCAGTGTAGGCAAGTACCAGATGCAGGAGATCAAGGTGACCTAATCAGGGACAGCGTTTCATCTGCTGCACTTAATGCTTCCCAGATCTAGTGGGGACAGAGACTGTGGGTTTGTTTTTAGCTTGTTTGAAATAGAAGAACATTTAAGTTCATCTAAGAGGAGTCTTGCACTTTATTATGTCCCAGGCTATCATCAGCCTTTTTTTTTGCACATTGGAAATGAAATAGTTTTAAGCATACTGGGGTTATTCAGCTCTTAACTGGGAAAATGAGCTGTGTTCAGTGCCAACAGTGGAAAATATATGATTTTCACATAAAAATACTTTCAAATTATATATCTATAGTGAAGCTCAGTACTCTGGAATTTTTATGTGGTGTCTAGAAATAGGGATGCTTTGCATTAATTAGATGCTCAGATTTCAGTCTAGTCTGCTTAAAGAATATACAGTAAAAAAATGCTGTTCTTGTCAAAAATCTGTTGGGTTTACTGCTTCTGTACTGCACATCACAGGATGGGATAGCTGTGGTGTACACCTAGAGCCTGCTTTAGAAGCAACTAGAGTTCAATAGGTAGCTCCTCAGATCGTCACAGCAGCTGAAGCTGGACAGAAAGTTCAAGCACAATAACAACAGAACTTTGCCTTTCAGTTGTTGTTGATCAAAGCAGGTTTTAAGAGTCATATGGGGAATTGTAGAAACAGCCAATAAAGGATGGTTTTGTGCTCCGCCTAAAGCTGAAGAATTAGCACAATGTGAGCAGCTTCTTAGGTTATCAAAATGAGGAATACCTTATCAGCACAGCATGATGCCTGCTGGCTGCTCTGCTGATAACTTTGTTTATATCCAGTGACCTGTATGTGTATAAACATTAACCTGTTCTTGTGTAGCTTTATAATATTTCAGTGGTCCAGACCAGCTTGGCAGTAGTCTTTTGTGAGCCAAATCCAAATTATCTTTTCCTTTAAAAATACATGCTTTAAAATGACATCTGGTTGTCTTCCTGGTCACCAGTTTGCAGCACTCATTTTGACTCACAAAGTGGTTTATGCTTCGGCATTTTTAGAAGTAACTTCTTTTTCCATCCTTAATAATCACTTTCCTCAGGTGGCTTCCCCTATTTGTTTTGAAATGTGTGTCCTTTATAGCTTTGAACACTTCAAACATCTGTTTATTATTTGCACAACACACTTTAATTTTTGGTTTGAAGGTTGCATATGGAAGTCGTCAGTCTTGTTGCTGTACTTTATTAACCAAGTGGAATGCAGGCACTGACCATATGAAAGCAAACACAACAGTTTTGCAAGCTAAAAAACCCTCCTGCTTTGTAACTCCAAGAAGATGGCACTCAATCCATGTGTTGTTTATCAGTTCCTTTATTTTTTATTTTTTTTTTTTTACATTTAGCAGGCCAGCATCCATCTTAAATTTTCAAAACAGAAAAGCCCTCATTGATTTTTAAACTCGCTGCCGCTTTCATTTTGGTTAAGATGAAATAGAGTTGCTTCTATCTTTTTAAGTGCTTTTTAAGTGTCTTTTGTATTTTTGGCACAACTTTTTCCTTGCTTCAGTTAATTTGTAACATTATGCAGAGTTTGGTCTGCTGTGGAAAACTTTGAGCATATCTTCAAAAATGAAAACCTCAAAATACGTTTAGATCCTCACAAAAAAGGGTTGTGATAGGTAATGCCATTATAATTTGGTTCCCAGTCCCCTTCAAATTGAAACATGTTGGCTTCATGCCAGGGAAAAGTTCTTTTAAATGCTGTTGAGCATCATTTTTATCATAATAAAAGTAAAAAATTAATTCCAGTGACACTGAAAATGCAGTAAAGCTCTTTTCACCAGGAAAATGTACTGTTGTTATCCTCTTTGAAAGAATCTTAATGCTCTCATAGCCAAATAGCTCAGCATGAATCTTCTCAGTATGATACTTTATCAGTGTGTACAATTGTCAAAAAATTGTGAAAACTCCCCCCTGACAAGAAGTAATTGTGTTTGATAGTAAAGATGGGCTATAATAATCCAGTTTTGAACATGTATGCAAAAGCTACAGCTGCTATTGCAGATTTCAATTGAAAGGTCTATGTTCTTAGAGTCCTGTCAGGAAAAAAAGCCCTTGAAAGGACCAAAATACTGGGAGAGATTGTGATTTATATGTGAAATTACCATACATGGTGTATTTGTTGAAAAGACTCTCCAGAGTAGACATGTTGGGCTCACAGGATGGAAGCAGAGTTTGTGTAAGCTTTGCTGTGCTCTCACTGTGGCGTTTGGGATGTGGCTTTTATTCTTTTACTCGCCTCTTGAGGCACAGCAGCACTGGTGTGGATGAAAGCAGCCTGCTAACATATAAAACAAGTAATTGATCTGCCTTTCTTCAGTAGGAATGCATTCCATAGTTTGCCCTTTTTGGAAAGGCATATGGGAATTTTCTAAGTGCTCCCACCAACTCCTTACCAAGAATGGAGCAAACTAAATATCAGGATTCCATGACAAAAGTGTCCTCCATCCTCTCCCGTGGGAACCGTTTGATTTTCATATCAGGAAAAAAAATGTGCCCTTCCCATCACAGTATGGAAGTTGTGCTCAATTGCCAGTCAGTGTCCCTGGGCTTAATCCAGTGGGCATCTACTTTTGGAAATGGTGCTTGCAGGTTTATCTCTAGGGAAGGGATGGTTAACAGAAGTCATAGTCTTGTGCCTCAAGTGGCAAAGAGATAGGCAGCTCTGAAATAAACGTTCTAGGGATGTCAGCAGTGCCGAAGACTTTGCTAAACTCTGTCCTTAAAGAGGCAGGAATAATTCCAGCAGCTGTGTGCAGACTGGGTGTTTGAGATCAACACATCCTAGTCTTAGTTGCTGCTGACTGGGTGTGAGGAGTCTCTTCTGGTGAGAAGAAATAAAGTAGAGTTCTGTTTCATCACTCAGGTAAAGTTCAGCCCTGCTTAACGTTGTGCCGAGAACATGCATGGATGTCTTAAAGTTGCTTTGTGAACTGAGAATCTTTCCACAGTAAGTGACAGCCCTGAAAAGCTTGATCATTGATTGTTATGATATTTAAGTAAAGCTTACTTCGTTCCTTGAAAAGAGTCACAGAATCATAGAGCAGTTTGGATTGGCAGGGTCCCTAAATGTCATCCAGTCCTTTGCCCACACCACAGCATCCAACCTGGCCTTGGGCACTGCCAGGATGGGGCAGCCACAGCTCTGCTGGGCACCCTGTGCCAGGGCCCCACCACCCTCACAGGGAACAGCCTCTTCCTAATACATATTCTAAACTATTTTCTTCCAGAAGGACTTGTCTTTTTTCTGAAGGTACATTTGTAAGGAATGATATCCTGGAGCTGCCTGAAGAAAATTCCTCTGTTGCAGTGGTGGTTCATGAGTGATCCTTTATTCTGATGTTTCTCCCTATATCTTTAATTCAGTGATGTTTTAGAGTGGGATGGTTTCACTTAAATCTGCAGACCATTGAGTTAGACTAACTTAAACAATTGACAAAGCTATTTATTTTGTATATATTATATATACACTTTGATTTCACTTAAAATGAATTATTCAATCATTAGGTAAGTGAAATTAGATTAAACTTAATACAATTGCATTAATTTTTTAACATAATTGGTGTCTGAAGACCTGAATTTATCTTTCTGTAAGTTTTTCACACTGCTAAAGGGCAAGAAACAATTCTCAAACAAAATGTAGATGTCAAGCTCTTACAAAGTACAACTTGCATGTATTAACTCTTTCCCTGCAGTTAATTATCACACTGAGTAGATCTTGTGGTCATGTCCTGCTTTAAGACTACTCTGAGTTCATCATTTTACACAGCTCATACTTTGCCCAGTCATGTTATTTATTCTGATAGTTCATAGTCTCTATTCTTTGATGACTGTTGTGGGTGGCAAAAAGAAAAGTAGCAAAAAATGCAAACACTCCACCCCCAGTTCTGGAAAATCCACACTTATCAGTAAAGATTTTCTGTTGTGTATCAAGTTGCTTTTCTTTGATACAGGATTTTCTGGCAGAAGGAAGGCAGCCTTACAGGGCTGCTTGGGCTGTGTGCTCTGGAAAACTGTTCCATGTATGGTCCATGATTACATTTTTACCAATTGGATGGAATAAATATTTACTGCTGCAATGAAAGTTTTACATGTGTACATTAGGCGTTGAGTAAATAAAACCCTTGGAGTGTGTAACATGTGAATACTGATGGCTCTTCTCCCTTCCAAGTGGCTTTGTCAGTTCCACCCTGGTGGTTCCAAAACATTCCCTCAAGTGCTGAGGTGTGGATCCTGGTCTTCACAAAGTGTGTGCAGCTCCCCTGAATGGCTCTACAGCAGAATTCCTAAAGATCCAGTCAAACAAACAGAACACAAACAACTTTTGTTTGAGGAGATGAGTTTAAGATGAGTACAAGAGCAATTTATGCTTTCTCTTGTAGTTGTGGGTAATGATCTGTAATGCAGTGTCCTTAGCAAAGAACATAGTAATCCTGTTTATAATTCTTGTTATATTAGAGTAGCCTGAGTGCTCTGCTTTTCATTACTAATTTTCATGTCCTGGGGCTCTGGCATGCACTTACTGAGTTCCTTTTAAATGCTGTTTAACTTTGAGCTTTTCTGTCTTTGAATTACTGTTATGTTGAAGATTGGACAGACTAAAACTTAACTGTGCTGTGCATCAAGAAGCACAGAGTTTAGGGAGAGAGCTGTTTCTTGAAGAAGAAAACTTTAAACATTTTTATATGTAGAATAAAATGTAGCCTTTTCTTGGTTTTGCATTCAGAGGGAGTAGGAATGAGTTTCCCTTTAATGTAAAAGAAGAGTGAGCAACTGATTACCTGGTGTGTTAAAGAGGAATATTGGTTGGGTTTTGGAGGTAATCAGTGTGTCCTTACTGATGGTGAAGAAGGATGTTCTGTCTCTTGTTGGCCTTGATTTTGATCCCTGTTGGTTTTGAGCAATGGACCTTGTACCTGGGAAAAACCCCAGTTGCAATTTGCAGGTATTTAAAACCAAGGCAGAACATAGAAATAATGGTAACTGCCAGTCTTCTTCTGAACTTGAGCATTCTGTGGCCTTGAGTAGATTATCAGGGAGTGGAGAGACCTCAGAGACTCAGGCTGTGCTTTTCCATGGTGTGCATGTCATTAGCACTGTGTCACTTGGAGCTGAGCAAGTCTTCTCCCTGGAAAATTGAAATACACACTGAACCTTGCAGTGCTTTATTTCTGCCCTTGATGACATCTTTCTTGCCAAGTCCAGGCTTAAAATGTAACTATGCTAAACAAGTAGCAAACATCTACTTAAATATAACAAAATGGACATTTGTGACAGCTTGAATGGCATGTTAATTATTTTTTAATAACTTTGTTTTGCTCTGTGTTGTGATGGAGTAGCAACTGAATTTCTCATGTCTTGTCTGTTCCACCTCCAGGAGATGTTCTTGTTGCTGTAAATGATGTCGATGTGAATTCTGAAAACATAGAGAGGGTTTTGTCTTGCATTCCAGGTCCTATGCAGGTACAGTATACAGTACTATTGAACATTTATTCCAAAAATCCTCTCTAAAAGTTAGTACTGCTTCTAGCCCTTTTTTTCCTGAGGAAACAAAATTTAGGTGGCCTTTTTCTTAAAACCTCCTCCATTGTCTTTTAACTGCGTTGCTTGACTTCAGTCAGAGTAGAAATTTCAGAGTTTAATTCTGATCAGAATCAGAAAAATTCTATGAAAATAGGTGCTGATGTCTATATAGCTGAAAAATCAACAGGTCAGCAGAGTAGTAGTGGGGTTTTTTTTGCCAATTACTGTGTTTAAAATGGTAATAATTGCTCTGAAAATACTTAAATAGAATAATTATGTCTTCATCAATATAAACAAGACTCACAAACCACAACAGTAAAAACAAGCCTGAGTTAACATGGAGTGCTGTTAAAAACATTTAAGAGCACTTAAATTGTAAAATTGATACTGGTTTAATACTTAAATACAAAAATTAATTCTTGGGGTTCTAAGAGATGTTAGATTGAATACTTTCAAGATCTTTCAAAACTCCACAGTGATGAAACTGATAAAAGTTAGTAATAAAAATTGGTACCAAGAAAAGTTCAAAAAAATCTGATAAATGATTTTTTTTTTTTCCAAAACTTAGTGCATAGATCTTCCAGCTGAATCATTTTGGAGCTCTAATGAAGAATTAAAGAAGTAATGAAGAACTAGATAGCTGTTTCAGAGCTAAGCCAGGAGAATGTTACTTACCTAGGATGTTACTAGCATAAAATGGAATATTTTGAGTTATTCTGCTTAAATACACTTCCTGATGGACAGGAAGACAAAATAAAAGTTGAAACTTTTATGTGTATGAGGTGTGAGCAGGAGCAGGTTAAAAATTAAAGTGTCTCTTGGTAGTTTTTCTTCAGGTAGAATATACAAGGTAATGATAATAATACATATTTTATAGTCCAGAGATTTTTTTAAAGTGGAAATTTGTTTTCTTGAACACAAAGGTCTATTTGCAAGTTTCTGTGGAAATATATGTTCAGTTGCAGTGAGATTGAGTGCTGGGGATGTCAGTTCAGGAAGCTTTGCAAGATACCTGACAGCCTGAAGTTTCCCTGAGCTACCGGAGCCGTGGTCAGGTACTGGCAGAGCTCCATGGGAGAAAAGCCTTTGACCAAATAGAGAGTTGCTGTAACTGTTATTAAATACAGAATGCTGAAAAAGGCAGAGATGATGCAGTGTGTGTGATTGCACCCTCTCCAGATGAGGGTGTGGGTATTTCTTGTTGCCCGAATGCAGCCCTTGACGGAGCAGTTCTGGTGATGCAGTGTCAGTGTTTGCTCTGTCAGTAAATCTGTCAGGCAGGCAGAGATTACTTGAATTGTGGAACAGTTTGTCATGGTGGCTTTCCAAATCCTTTCATTAAAGTGCAATTATTCCTTTTCCACTGGGCAGCTTGAGTCAAGCCAGACAAGTGGTGGCTAGAATAGACTAGTGGAGATGTAAATACAGACTTCTGGGTTTTTTGCAATGCACTGCGCTGCAATCGTGCTGCTGAAGGAACAGAGGGTTGTTGTAGCTGACATTTTGTAATACAAGCCAAATTGTTAGTGTTTTCATTGATCTTACCTTGCAGAATATCAAAAAATATGCAATTTAAAGCCTTTTTACTTATGTTATTTCTGTAAGTGAAGTCCCTATTCCTCTGGATTCATGTTAAAAATTGCTGGAATTTTAAAAACTTGACTACCTAGATTCAATTGCACTATGTGACATAAAATATCTCATTATTGTGTTTCCAGAATTTTGTTTTCCTTACCTCAGATTAGACAACTAGATCTAGGCTTGAAAGGGCTGGTCTAGTGCATTTAGTGAGTAATAGAAGTCCAAGTGCTACATTAGTCCTTTCAAAATGGTTGCTGTTTCCTAGCACCACAAGACAGAGAATACAGAAGAGGAAGGGCAAGATATGCTGAAGGAATATACTCTTCTTTACTCTGATACTCAGAAGTTGCAGAACCATTTTACTCAAAACTTGCTAAAACTATCCAGCCTGAGGCAGACATCTAGAATGAGAAATTTCAGGCTGAAATTTTGAGTTGCAGTTGTGCAGACCATAAGCACATGGCAAACAGATACCGGGAACAGGAAGCAGCAGGCAGCCTTTAAAAGGCAGGCAGTGCCCCCAGCTCTGTCTGTAATGAAATCCATCTTCCAAGCATGCAGCTTTCTTGCAGATGAAATCATGCCTTTCTGGGGCAGGCCAGTGGCACAACAGCTCTGTTTTCTGTTTCTACACTGAGAAATGTATCATGGTATTAGGAAGCAGATTAAATACAGAGTGACCTTCCAATCATTACTTTCCAGCTTCCAGCAAGGACTTGTAGTATCAGTTAAGGGTTTCTATGTTCTCCTTTGTTTCTTAAAATTCCTTTGACCTCCACAGCAATCTGGGGCAGTGATTTATGTGACTGATTTGTATTATGTTAATTATCACTGGCTTTCAAATTGCCATCTAACCAAGTGCATGTCAGACCCCCATGTTCCTGTGTTCTGAGAAGAAGTTAATTGTTCATGTCTTACCCTGCCATGGCTCTGGAGAGCTCTGTCATGTTCCACTTTGTCACCCTCCCTAAGCAGAAAATGATGATCCATGTCCCTCACAGTGTGCTGTTCCTGCCACCTTCTTGCCATTTGATTAAAGTCTGCTTGAGAAATGTTTTAAGTATTGAGAACATGAGCATGAAACATAGAGTGGAATATTAATGCTTTTCTCATTCTTCATGTCATTTTCTGTTTTCTGTTGTGCATTGAACTGATTTTCTTCAGGAGAAATGGAATCAAAGCTGTGGAAGATTTCACAATCACTACTTATAAAAGGGGACTTGAGTAGTCATGTTTAATCAGATCCTATGCACTGCTCAGGATGAAGATTGATTTCTTCTCCACAAAAAAAATTATATATATATTTAGGATATGTTGAAATGCATTCTCTTGGTCCATTTCTATTCAGTGATGTGGGAGGCAGCATGGATGACTCCAGACTGAGAGAGAGTTAAAGCTCTGTTCAGTCCAGTTTGTTTTGAGCTCTTCCCTGGAGGATCCTATGGTTGTGTCTCTTAAGACAAGACAGACTAAGTTTGTTTTTATTTTAATTGGGAGACTAAAAGATAGACTGCAGCAAGAATGACATCTGTGTGTCATTAATGTAGAGACTGTAGCCTGAGTGTCATGGCTAAATGTCCAGAGACAAGATGCAGTAGAAGCTGAGAGAAATAACTATTGAGCCTTAAGGAAATCTGTAAGAAGTTAGAGTATGAGGAAATATTCTGAAATATATGCAGATGGCGTGACAGAGAAACAGAACCAAGTCTCAGAATGCTGGAGAAGAAAACACACTCTTGTGAAACTGTCAGCTATCAAGTTACTGGCTCTTAGAAAGCAGCTGCTTCTCAGCAGAGTTGGATTCCTTGTCAGGAATCAAAACTGGACTGGTGAGGAGAGGGTGAGGGATGAGGTACTGCCAGAAAAGAAAGAGGTGGTGCAGGACAGGAGAGCAGTACCAGGGAAGAGGAGGAGAAAAAAAGACTGATAGCAGCCCAAATAGGAGAGGGGAAAATCAGTGCAAAGTGTTGGGAGAGGGAGTGAAGTGGAAGATGGCAAGCAGTGACAAATGTAGCTGTAAGAGCTGATGATGGCACTTGTCTCTGAGCCAGTCTGACAGGCAGTGGGTGTTTTAAAGCATCATTATTTCTTGCTGGCACTCCTCTCCTGAAGTTTGTGTACACACATGCACGACGGCAAAAATGATCTGTCTTTAAATGTATAAATTATCTGCTTGGGCTTCTCAAAATTTATTGCAATTGAGAAAAAAATGGATTTTGTTGCATCAGTCCTCAGGCTAAATTGCCACTGATTTTAACTAGCAGGATTTGGTGTGATGTATTATGTTCAGAACTTCCCATGTTGCAGTATTTCAAGGCAGATAAACAGTCTTGAGTAAAAACATGTGAAGGAGGAAACTAAGAGCATGCCCACTTAGTCCAAATGTATCTTTAGTCAGCTTGTTAAAAAATAAAGTCTCATCCAAGAACATAAATGAATTTCTTCTCCTTGGAACTAGCATTTTTATGCTCACTCAAGAGATAAGTGTTTCTCACATCTCCGCCTTTCATACTTAGGATCATGTGTTCATACAAAATAAAAAATCACTTTCATCACTGCTGAGACAAGTAACAAACACAATATTTTTAAGTTAGGGCTTAAAGTAGGTCTATACGGCAAATTTTGAAACATGTTTCCACGTGAAGTTTGGATAATATGTTGTGTGTCAGGAAATACTCATTTATTCTAAAACTCCTGGATTTAAACTTATTTGGGAAATAAGGGTCAGTAAACTTTTTTTTTTTTTTTTTTGCAAAATCAGCTTGATCATGTAAGCTTTAAAGGTTTTGTTTAGGAGAGGATGATGTGTTTGTGTTCTGATCTTTTTTCTTAAGGCATAGCACAGTAAGGGATGTAAGTAATTTTTAGGTTACTTGGTAGTTGTGTAAATTGTTAAATACAGCAACAAAACTCTTATTTTCTGATTTTATAGTTAAAAAAAGGAAAGTTAACATATTGAAAATGAAAGAATTGCTACCATTACAATTTACCAGACTTTTGCAGTCCAGTGTAAATTTAAATGGATTTCCCTGTGCAAATGTGTCAGTGCGCTCAAAACGGCAAAGAAATGCTCAAGAAAGAGCCTTCAGGATATGTACTTAGGAAACTGCTGACATTTTGAAAAAGTCAAATACTGTGTGTGTTTCAAAGGCACAGTAATGGGTTTTTGTGCTCAGACAAAGCCAGAGCAGTAAGTCTATTTTTCCATTCTCAAAACCATAAGAATTAAGTATGAAAACACAGCAAACCACATGCTTACTCACATGGTTCATAGACCATGTAATAGCTGGCTTTGTCCTTTGTAATAACTGGTTATGTAATGCTGAATGTATCATTGGTTTTCTTGAAACAGTAGGAATTTTGTTTGCTTACATCTTCCTCAGTAAAGCTGAGGCTGAGAAAACCTAACCTCTTAAAGGGCTCCAACTCCATCTGTTTCATCTGCTACTGCAAAGTAATTGGAAGTACAGCCTCATTCTCACAGTAATTAATTACCTTAATAGGTTAAACTGACATTTGAGACCTCGGTGTTTGAGGCTGAAGGGACTTCTGAGCCAAGGAACAAACAGACACAGTCAAGCATGAGCAACCTGGCTCGGCTGCTGTGGGGAGAGGACGCTGTGGAGCCTCAGCAGGATGTGCCTCACATTGTCATGTTCCTCACACTGAAACTGGACTCTGAGACCTCCAGGGATGAGGTATGTGCCTGACTCTGGGACACCCAGGGGTGAGGTATGTGCCTGACTCTGGGACACCAAAGGATGAGGTATGTGCCTTAATCAGTCACCCTCAGCTCACTGACCACAGCAGCTCCTAGGACATTTGATGTAAAAGAATAAACCAAAAATCCTCCTAATTGTTTGGAGTTGGGAGTCATCCATAAAATAGCCATTTTGGTAGAGATAAGGTGTGAAATTTCAGCATCACTGCTGACAAACTCCTGGCTGGCCTTGAAGTCAGGTGAGGAGCAGCCAGGTGGTGACTCCACAGCCAAGGTGCATTCCCTAGGGCCAGGCTGGCTCTGGGATGCTGACCTGGAGGTTTTTAACACCAGGATCTGCCTGGTGGTCTAAGAAATATCCCCCTGCAGGAGCTATTGGCAGTCCTCATCCATAATCTGTCTGGCCTCTCCTGTTTTGAAATGCTAATGTGCCTTTTCTTAGAGGGCTCTGGCATGTCTGCTGGTAGCAGTCAGCTGCTGATTCTTGCTTGGGCAGCTTTTAGAGCCACTGAAGTACTTTTTATTTATCCTGTAAAGCTTCCTTTCACTCTTTCCTTATTGTGTTCCTCAGGAAAATGTTGCCGGTGGGTGTGTAAGTTTGTGTAGTTGTTCAGGGTGTAGCCATAGCTACAGATATTCCTCTCCAGGCAGGGACACAAAGCTGGGCTTGGCCTCTTGCCCAGTCTGGGAGTGACAAGGGGACAAAGTGGACTTCTTAGGAGCAGACATTTGGGGAAAAAACTCTTCTGCTTTTGTGTGAATTCTCAAATTTAGCATTGTGTCTCAGTGACCCTGTATAATCTGTGCTGAGGAGCCATCAAACAAAGCACAGGTTTTTCCAGTGCCCAGGGACTAAGATGGCAGGACAGTGATGGAGTGGGGAGCAAAAAGAAAACATTTTGCTTTCTCTCCCTTGGAATTTATCCTTAGATTGAGATACCTTTACTTTTTTTTTAATAGTATTTTTCAACTGATACAAATCTACATTCTCTTGGTGGTGGGTAATAGAGAAAAAGTGTTACAGCTACACAAAATAGGGTTTAATTTTATTTTCTAGAGACAGGCCTGGGAAGGAGAACCCTAGAAAATTGCATGATACCATAATATGTACTAGTCCAAGACCAGTGTTTTCTTGACCACATAAACTTTATGAAATATTTAAAAAAATAATTTCAAGGCCTCTGGCTTCTCTCTTCCACATGTAAAAGCCTGATTGCAATTCTGCTCTTGACAGTAAACTGAGTGCTGGTTTCTTGCCCCATTGTTCCTTTACGTTCTCCCAAGGAGTGGATTAATCCTGAACACTGAGCAGAGGTAAAAGAGGGATTGTAATGCCCCTGTTGTCCCTTCACAACATGAAATAATTGTTTCCTGAGAAGTCTTGGTGGCAATTATGCAGCCCCAAATATGCCGAGAGATGCTTTGCTGATATAATGAAGCTCTTTATAACATTTCCTTGCAAAAGAATGCCTCCTTCTTTAAGGCATTTGTCTTTAATTTCATTTTCTGTACTTCATGCAGCTTCTATCCTGTAGATGTACTGTCCCACATTTAGTTTAAACTGTACTTTAAATGAAGTTATGGTACACCAAAGCTGTCCTGCCCAATAGAAATAGAATGATCCTTTAAGAAGCTGCTTTGCCCGTATCCATGGGAGGCACAGTATGCAGATCACATCTGTGTCAACTGTGGCAACTGCAACTTGTAAATAAGTGTTCCACTTGGGAGCTTTTGGCACCTAAAATAGAATTAATGAGCTTTAAGACTTGTAAGCTCTGTCTGCTCAGCTCTACAGGGAAGTATTTGGAATCATTTGGGATGTGTGTCCCTATGGTAACAGTTCCTCAGTGAGTAAGGTCAATTCTGCCTTTTTATATTTTAGTTTAAGGTGGGTATTGCAATTATACATTATTTGTAGCAGTGTGCAACACTCACGTCTTTGTATATGACCTGGTTTTGGCAATAGCGTGTCTTAAAAGGAATAATGTTCATGTTCCTTCTGCTGTTACTGGAAGATTCTGTCCAGGTTTGGGGCTGGGTTGAGGGAGGATTTACACTTGAAGAAATGAGCTGCTTGTATTTATTAATTCCATTGTCATTGGCCTGTGACCTTTGGGCTTGCTTTGGAGAGAGCTGATCTGGTGGCATGTGCTGGCCCTTGCTAAATCACTGTGTCCATACATGATAACATTCTGCCTGTTTGTTACACTTGGCTTTTCTTTCCCTGGGAATGTGTTCAGGTCATTCTCAAATAAATTTTGTCTAAAAGCCCCAGTTCATAGTGGATGGGGGGGAGAAAAATTCTCTCTCTAGGCCTTTGCATGCTGCAATTGGAAAACAGCAGGGTTTCTCCAGCTGAGGGATTGATTGCAGAAAACAGATCCTTGTCGCTAATGAGTATTTCTAAATAGAGTTAATTAAATTGGATATAAATGAAGACTTTGTCAGGTCCTTCTATAATGAAATTCTGCATTCTTTTAGTCTTGATGAAGGAAAAATTTTTAATGGGTGTTGGCACTGGCTGAATGTGATTAGTGACATAAACAGGGAAATTAATCATGCCTGTGTTTCGTTTGTTTGTGGAGAAAGATAATTTACTATAATCTTTGCAGTGGAGACAATGCAAAAAAAATAATGGCCCATCATGATTTGGCAGGAAGCAATAAATGAGGGGCAATCATGTTTGCTTATTCCTATACTGTTATAGTTGCTGAAATAATGAAGTTCTTGAAAGTGCTTGAATAAAAGAATGATTTTTTTTTTTAATGGTTAGAAAGAGAAAAATATCTCACAAATATTTATGTCTATAGAGCTTTAGTTTCAAATGACTTGTGTAAGTGTATCTGGTCAGATGTTTCATGAGAAATCTTAGTGGTGTATTTTAAAATTTCAGCACCCTCACAATAAAGAATTTTTTCCCCTCTCTTGGCATCAGATATGTTAACAGTGTACTTAAAGCTTTAAGTTGCAGTGGCCACGCTGCTTGTCATTTTACATTTCTCCATGTAATAATTAATTTAAATAAGTCATGCTTTTCTATAAAATACAGAATTTCCAGCTGTAGAAAAATTGATGTGCCTTTTAGAACTTTCCAGTATGCCCATGCAGCACAATGCTGGTTCCAATGTCTTATAAAAGGATATGATAAAAGATTTCATGTTTAAAAAAAAACCAACTGTTGCCACAAAAAAAATCATTATCTTGTGTTCTGTGGGTATTTTTTGGAGGGATTTTGTTTTGGCTTACTCAACTAACAGCTAACTTTCTTCACAGCAAGAAATTATTTATCAGTACCCCATATCTGAAGCATCCCAAAAACTGAAAAGTGTGAGAGGGATATTTCTCACACTGTCTGACATACTGGAAAGTGTTACTGGTACCGAGATTATCAGGTAAAAGTGTTTGCAATGTAATTTCTGTTTTTATTCTTTTATACATACATGCACAGCAAACAGGGGTCATGCATCAAGTTCTAGACAAACCAGAGCAACTCAAGCTGTTTAGGCAGTAACTCTTTAACTACAACAGTTGGAGTGCTCAGCCTGGATGTAAATGGATTTGGGGGAGTTTTGTTGTAGTGGGTAGCAGTGAGTAGGATTTTTAATTCAGTGAAATGATTTTCAACTCCTTTGTAACTTCACAGTGTTAACAGAAACGCTTCTGGTTTCATTTTTCTAGCTCCTCCCTGTTCTTGTGTGAAAAACTTGTTCAAGTTGTTTACTGGAAAGCATCTGACAAGTTGCTGGTCATTGGCCTTCCTGAAGAAAAGTGAGTTTCAAAGGAAAAGGTTTTGTTTTCCTTTAAATTTTGTGTCCTCAAATTTATTGTGTGTACTCTTCTAACAAAAAAAGGCAAGAAAGGGCTTAAAATGTTCTCTTTTTACTGTAACTAGTTTTTATGTCTGTGATTTCACTATTTTGATTGAGTTAATCCATGTCTTTCATATATCCATTGTTATAATTTCTTTTTCATTTCCTCTGAAGAGAAGAAGATCCAGAAATATCTGTAAGTTAGAAAAGAGTAATATCCTAGGATTTGGTAAACTCAAGTTCTTTGCAGAGACTGCTGAATAACAATAGTAATATTACATGTTTACGTATTCTAGGAGGCTTATTCATCATAAAAATGTTTTAATTTTTACTTGTCAGTGTGCCACTTTATCAGCTGAGGAACATGATTCAGAATGTTGTCAGGACCCTGACATTCATGTACAGTTCTTTGGACAGGTGAGTTCTTGCAGAAGTATTTTCTTTTCAGTCACTCATTTTTCATTGGTGCTCACCGAAAAAGACAAATATTAGGATTAATTTTAATGTTTCCAGGGAATATCTTGGCATGTTCCTTTACACTTGTATAAAAACAGGAATTCTGTTGGTCTTGCCTTTCGGTTTCAGCCTTAACATTAGTAAGATACTGTTTCAGCAGGCTTTGTCACTCCCATTATCCAAGTCACTGTGGATGTCAGCAGCACTCAGCAAATGTTACCCTCTGTGTCTGTGACAGATACATGTGTATCAATGTTACATTTTTAACATAGTAAACACTCTGGACTTGTCCAGAGTGAGTGTCTGGAGTGCCAAGCTCCATTTGGCAGAGCTAGTGTCTTTCTCTGCATTTGGAAATGACCCAGGAGACTTTCAGTCTGACTGTTACCTAAATAAAACTGCCCAGGTGGATTACCCATGTTCTTGCATTTAATTCAGGCTTAATGTATGCCATAGCGAATGAAAAAGAGCAAATCTCAGTTTCCAAAAGGATGAGGCTGATGTTTCACTCACCTTAAGCTGCTCTGTGGTGGTGCTCACAGGTGTCCCAGGATGAGGGAAGAGATGAGAATCTTGACTCCATGTTTCAGAAGGCTGATTTAATATTTTATGATATGTATTATATTAAAAAATGATATATTAAAACTATACTAAAAGAATAAAAAGATTTCATCAGAAGACTAGCAAAGAAAAGAATGGAGTGATAAAATCTTGTGACTGACCAGAGTGTCCAAGCCAGCTGACTGTGACTGGCCATTAATTAAAAACAACCACACAAGACCAATCACGGATCCACCTGTTGCAGTCCACAGCAGCTGATAATCATTGTTTACATTTTGTTCCTGAGGCCTCTCAGCTTCTCAGGAGAGAAATCCTAGCAAAAGGATTTTTCATAAAACATGTCAGTGACACTGCTCTATGGTAACACCATACTGGTTTAATCTGCTCTTTATAGGTACTGCCTGGATATCAGCCTAGTGGATTTTTTTCATGTTAAAAAACCATTTTTTTCACGTTAAAAAAAAACCAAATGTAGCATGATGCTGCAAAAAGGGTTGTGTGTCACTGAGGGTTATATAAACAAGCTGCACATTTCTCAGAGCTATTCTAACTTGCAGTTCATGTTTGTCCAGTGCTTTTTGCCAGGTGGAAAATGCTTCTCGCCTGGATCATTTTTTCAGCCTGTTCTTCCAGCGTGCCCTCCATCCTGCGAGGTCCCAGGCTGGCAGCAGTGCCCAGCTGCAGGATCCCTGCAGTGCCCTGCTCCCGGGCAGCCTCCCCGCGCTGCGCTGGCTGACGCTGCCCCAGCAAGTCAAGGTCAGCTCCTTCTCACGTCTCTCCAGCTTTTCCTGGCCATGACACGCCAAAAAGTCAGTGCTCTTCCTCTCTGATTTACCTAAGTGCTTTGCCCGTGCTAGATGGTCTGTTTTCCTGTGAAATTCACGTTTTGAGCTACACCACCATTCCCACAGGATTGCTCTTGTGAGTGTAGATTGGTGACTTTAGAGTAATCTAGGAAGAGCAGAGAAAGCAGCCCCTGGTATGTAGCTCTGTGTTTGATTTTAACCATTCAAGTATTTTGGTAGGCAGGAAATATTATTCTAGAAGCCTATTTGTGTCACTATAGGACACAAAAGAATGTGATGCTCTTTTCAAGGTAAAAGGAACTTTTTAATTTCTGACTCCAGCATTGATAGATTCTAAAAGTGACGGATTGGAGGGTGACAGTGTCGCCTCTCCAATGACACTGGACAAATCAACAGTCTATCAAATTTCTCCTCCTCCATAAAAGAATGCAAAACAATAAATTATTTACATCAAGTGTGTGAGTAAGTTTGTTACAAGAATATAAAATCAGAAGGCTTAGAAAATCAAGGTGACACGTGTACTTCTCATAATTTAGGAGAGTTATAAATGGCTGTTACAGAATCAAAATAAATACCTACATGTGGTTTGTTGATGCTAGACAGGTAGTTTTTCTGCACCATTTCACTGTGCCATGTTACCTCCATGTTAGAAACTGAGTTGTGCTTTAAGCAGTAGTAAGACAAAAGGTAGATCACAGTAACTAACTTTAATTTTAATTATAACTTAATTATATAAATTTTAATAATTTATTTTAATAATTAAATTATTATATAATTTTATTATGTAATAATTATACAGGTTATAATAATTATTTAATTATAACATTAATAACATTTTAGCTGCCAGTTGTAAACCTCACTTTCATTACTTTGGTATCTGTGACTCCAGTTTAAAATATGTTGGCCTGTGCCATTGTTCCTAAACAGATTTCTCTTTGCTAATGTGGCCTTCTCCCTTTTCTCCTTTAAAGGAGAATTATCTTCTCCTTTATCTTTAGTCACAGACTGATCATTATTTAGTTCTTTCCACCTTACACTGCAGGGTTTTTACTGCTTTTTTACAATTTGTTGATCAGGAGTCTTTCCATGCTTTTTTCTTACTTCTCAAGTTTCTGTAGAGAGGCTCTCTTGTGCCTTGCTCTCCAGTTCAGCTTGCAGGCTGCTTTTTTCTTATAAAACAATAAGTTTTAAAAGTACTTAGGAAACATCATCATTGATACTTATAATACAGGCATCACTTTCCAGCGTTCTTTGAGATCATTCCCATTTGCCAGAAAAGTTTTGTTGTTGCAGAAGATGACATTTCCAGTCAGAGTTTTGATGAAGAGCTACTCTATTCTGTAAGGAATATAAAACTAAAAATGTCAGTTCTTCAGGCAGAAAGCCATTTAAATTTTGACTGGGGAAAAGCTGAGAGGATGATTAGTTGTTGAGTGCCAACAGGCTTGCTGACATTTCTCTGTTTGAAAACTGGCTGTATTTCAATTGGAGGCAGCCTGCTAACACAGCCCAAGAAGTTTGCAACCATGTGATTTAGGTTCTTTTCATTAAGTAGCACACTTATGTCATGAGTTTCAGGGCCTTGGACCAAGAAAAGTACTTGTAGTTATACTTGATTTAACCAACAGCTCTTGCAGTTACAGAAATAAGGAAGCTTAAAGTAGGTCCAATAGAACAAAAATCATGTGTGAGAGAGTTTTGGTGACTTCATAGAGACAAAAAACTTAAATCCATTGGATAAAAGATTTTTCTGTAAACTCAGCTGGATGCAGTGATGTGCCAGGTTTGTCTCTAGCCCTCACGTTTTAAAGCACACTGAAAGAGTGACATCTCCTTTGTGCCCACATAAACAGAGAAATGGTACAGTTCAAAGAGCAGGAAAATAGCCAGCAATTAGGAAGGATTTGTCTTCATTCTGGTGTCCCCAGGTGTTCTTGGTATTTGATGTTACTAATAAAAAACAGGTGCAAGTTTTTATCCAATCACTTTAAATCCCAATCTGAGATGAGCAAGACAGAGCGAGATGTGCTATTACTGGAAATTAATGTGTTGGAAATGTGTATTAAAAAATCTTTTTTTTTTTTTTTTTACTATTTCAGATGGAAATTGACACAGCACTGAGTGATCTGGAAGCAGCTGATTTTGCAGAGCTGGTAAATATTCTGGTTTTGTTTGCTTTGTACAGTATCTCCTTGCCTTGGTGTCACATTCAGTGGTTTAAACAAAGACTATTTTCAAAATCCATCAACTTCTTTTAATGAAGTGGGAGTAAAAGCAGTTTATCCTGAATTTCTCTCCATGCTTAATATTATAACATATTATAATCCTATAGGAGTGGTCACTGAAAATCCATGATTTTATATAATTTAAATCCATGGGATGTCTACAAAAATCAGAGAGGTGATTCTTGTTACATTTCTTCTTTGTGTAAATAACTGTCTCCTTCCCAAGCAATTGTGAACCAACTTGGAAACATCTATGAATCAGAATTTAAATGTCCAGTTTACAGAAGGCAATTACAAATTCTGCTTAGTTTTAATAATGTTACAGAAGGTAATAATAATATAATTTACTTCAGTAACTCTTAGCTGTGCAAGGTGTAAATAGACATTTCAGCTTTAATTTGTAATGAAATAGTTGTCTTGAGATCCAAATTACTCTAAAGTTACTCTAAAATTCTATTCAAAAGAATCCCTGCACTGAACAAGCTGGATGATCATTTACAGAAATCAGTGTTTGAGTCACAGTTTATTGCACAGATAAATTGCACAGAAATTGATTCCACCTACTTAACTTAAAATGCAATACATCTATCTAAAAACAGTGCTGCTAATGGGAGAGCACTGGGCAATACAAGATGAATGAATGGGAATATTTTGAGTAAAATGTCAAACACTGGAAAAAAATGCTTTGACTTGTGAATTTTACTCTAGGAGGGCCCCTGGTGTCAGTAGTTATGCTGAAGTTACTTTGCTGTTAACTGTGAGAATGAACATATCCTAACAAAAATAGTTTATCAGCACATAACAGTTAAATAGAAACTAGTTATTTTAAGCTGAAATTTTTAGAGAAAATTGAAATGACACAAAATTCAATAATGGAGGCTAAAAATGTGGTATTTCCCTGAAATGCTCAGTATTAACTGCTGTACTGGTAATAAGAGGTGGTCAAATATTAAATTATTGAAATATTGATTGGCTGGAATTAGTTCACTTGCATTTGGTAGATAATATTAAAATGCAGAATTAAAAATTGCACACACTTTTTCCCCCCCAACAGTCTGAAGATTATTATGACATGAGAAGATTATATGTGATCCTGGGCTCTTGTCTCTTTTACAAGGTAATATTAATGATTAAGACCTAAAGATTAGGAAAATGCATCTAGAAATCTGATTTAATGTTTCAGAATCTCACAAATCTGAGGTGAACATATAACTGATTTAAGCATGTATTTTTAGTTACAGACCTAAAGCTTAAACACCATAACAGAAAAAAATCAGTGTCAGGAAATGCTATGTACTGTATGAACAGCAAAAACAAAAATACTTCTTTAAAATTTGGAATTTCTTGGCGTTGTCCAAGGATTGGAAAGAGGGAGTAGTAAGTAAGGAGCAAGAGTCTGTTCAACTGAGATTGTAGGATATTTTAATGGGAACTCTTGTGCAATCCTATGTTTTAATAGCAGGTACTCTGTCTTGAATCTGTCTTTGAGTCCAAGACTTGAGAAATTGTGTTGACAGCTTTTTTCACTTTGGCCTCATTCATAGCCTTATTTCTCTTTGGTAAATGGAGACAGTGTAATGAAAAGTACGAAGAGGAAAGTAACAGCCTTTGCTTTAAGAAAACCTGCATTTTAAGAATTTTATCAGGCAATTGTTTTTTGTGTTAGGGGTGTTATAAGAGAAGTGGAACTGCGCAGTATCTATCATGAGAGCACTTCAGCTGTGAAGTCCTTAGTGCTGGAACCACTGTGATATGGATTTTCTTTGGAAATTTTATTAATTCCAATTTTTTTTTTAATTTATAAAATTTAATAATTTTATATTTATTAGAGAATTAAATGAGAACTCGAGCACCTTAACACTGTAGCAGTTTTGCAAGCTGGGAAAGCCCAGCTCACCTTTGATAACTCGCATATGTGCTGATGGCTGATTTGCTTATATTTAGTGTTTTGATTATTTAGAAAAAGCTCAATGTTGGACAAATGTACACCAAAAAGAGTCTGTGGACAGAAACCTTAAGATCTCCGTGCACATGGAGCAGGAGTATCTCTGTATGAAAAGCACTGTGAAGTGCTGCGTGGTGGTGTTGTAGCCTCACTGAACACTCTTCTTTCCTGTGTTTAATGAAGGGTTACTTGATTGGCAATCACTTGCCAAAGGAAGACCTCGTTGACGTGGGTTTCTATTGCCAGCACTACTGTCTGTTATCGCTGGCAGCAGAGCAGAGGATTGGCCAGTTGGTGATTTGGCGGGAAGTGTTCCCACAGCATCACCTGCAGCCGGATGAGGAGTCACATTTCACAGGATACAGGGAGCCTGAAGCAAGATACTTCTTACTGATAGTGGGCTTGGTGAGTTGGTGCTGCAGCATGCCCGTTCTCTGAGCCTCTCTTCTGCTCTTGTGAGTTGTGTATTCACCAGATCAACACTTGCCATGCATTTCGCTGGGTGTCGCCACATTTCTCTTCACAGAGAAAAGCAATCCCAAGAATATTTCTGGGTTTCACATTCTCTGAACCTCAGAGGAAGAAAAACCAGTTCTTATCTCATTTGCTGTGCCTGTGTTGGTTCACAAGTGGAATGCATTGGTTGTTTACCTGAATGCAAGTTTGTTTACCTGAAGAGAATTGGTAATTCGATTCTGGTGTGAGTGTTTTAATTCGCTGACCAGTTGAATCCAGGTTTGTGTGTTTCAGGACTGTCAGCTGACAGTCACGAGATGTTGGTGTTGAATGCTTGGCAGGTTCAGTTGAGATGTAATGTAATATACAACAATGTAGTATAATAAACTAATTAATTAGCCTTCTGATAAGATGGAGCCCTCCTCATCATTTCTCCCTGCCACAGGGGTCATCTTGTTCTGATAATTGGGTAATTTTTTCGAAATACTCAAATTGTAGCTGTTTCATGGGATAGAATTTCCTAGGGAGCATTATATAAGAAATTATCATTATGTGTATGCCTTTTAACTTCAGTTAAAAATGTTTCTACCTTAATAATCTTAGCTTTTCAGACAGCTCACATCAGAAATGTCTGGGTTTGGTTTTCTAATGTGGACTTTGTTTCAAGCAGACAGCTATTGTAGTCGCATTGCCTGCAGACCAAGGAAGGAATGATGAATCTGCCTCCATGTTCTCAGAAGGCTAATTTATTATTTTATGATACTGTGTTACATTAAAGACTACTCTACTATACTAAACTAAAGAATACAGAAAGGACACTTACAGAATGCTAAAAAGATGATAATGAAAACTCGTGACTCTTTCCAGAGTGTGGCACTGGTTGGCCAGTGAGTCAAAATAACTCGCAGCAGAATCCAATGGAACAATCACCTGTGGGTAAACAATCTCCAAACACATTCTACATGAGCAAAACGGAGGAGAAGCAAATGAGATAAAAATTGTTTTCCATTTTCCCTGAGGCTTCTCAGCTTCCCAGGACTCAAATCCTGGGCAAAGGGATTTTTCAGAAAATGTGAATGCCACAAACAGGTGATGAGTTTGTGAGCAGTCTGTTCTGTTTGCATTTACAGAGACACTTTGTCCTGTGTGTCCTGCTGGAGGCAGGGGGCTGTGCATCCAGAGCTATTGGGAACCCAGGACCAGACTGTATCTATGTAGACCAGGTCAAAGCAACCATTCTCCAGCTGGAAGGAATCGACGCCAGCATCGAGGAAAGGCTGGATTCTCCTTCCGTGCCACCTTTAGCCTGTGCTGACTGGTTCCTTCCTGCAGCACGGGACAGGCTGGAGAGCTTGAGCACCTCCCCAGTGCTGAGCAAGCTGCAGAGCTCCTGCAAAGCTGGGAGCACTGCAGGGAGCAGGAGGAGCCTCTTTGGGGACACTGGGCACACCCCACGGGGCAGTGGGGCAGCTGAGCAGGGCAGCGAGGGGCCCGCGGAGGAGGAGAGCACAAATCCACAGCCTCTGATGGAGCAGGTCAGAATTGAACAGCTGCTGGGGGCTTGGGGAGAGGGCAGCCCCTTCAAACCCAAGGTGACTTTTACAAAAGGCACATTATAAAAGAGTAAGTCCCTTGAATTCCCTATAAAATAACTCTGTTGCCTTGGGAAGCACTGAGTCAGCCTCAGAGCCATCACACTTTTTTATTTTATCATTGCTTGTAAATATTTGGGGATTTCACATGACTGAAGTGGGCACAGCTGTGTTGAAAAAAGCAGGTGTAATTGGAGACTATCTCCAAAATAACCTATCACAACTAATTTCTGTACAGTTGTATGACCCCAAAATAACCTATCACAACTAATTGCTGTACAATTGTACAACTGTGTCTAAGTTTAGTCTAAAATAGGCCAAAAAATACATTTATATAAATTGATGTAACTGGGCCTTATTGAAAATGCTGCATTGTCCCCTTCTTTCTGTTGGTTTGGCTGGATTCTGTTCTTTCTTTCACTGTGTGTTCTCTGTTATTTCATCTATCTCCTTGTTCTTCAGGCCACTAGGAAAAAACACACCCTGCCAAACCCATTTCATTTAGGAAACCTGAAAAAGAACTCTTCAGAGAAAGATACAGAACTTCCTAATGCTATGAGGTAAGAAACTATTTTTTATTGAGTATTTCATTTTTTTAGGCCATGCTTAGATTGTTTTTTAAATATACACAGATTGCAAAAGTCCCCTCGTGATTTTATCCCAACCAAAGCTTTTCTATGCAAAGATTATCAGAAGTGAATCTGTTAAACTGAGAGCTTAATTAAACATAAAAATTGGAAATAATACAATAAAAGACAGCTGTTTCTGAATAGTATGTCAGTATTGTGCATATCTGTCCCACATCTGTGTGACCTTGGAATTTCAAGCAGCAGTTTCTGAACCACACACGTTACCTTGTTGCCTCTATGTTATCTCTAGGCAGGTGTAGAACAAACAAAGCTTTTATTTCACTTTCCGTTTTTGGAGACAATTTTTGAGAACACAAATTTATGTTGCAATGCCTAACTAGCAGCACAGTTTTTTAATTTGTTGGTTTTTTAAATTGAGTATGATAGTCAAAATCAGCAGGATTTCCTTGGTGTGAAGACAGAAACCTTTGAATGCCTGTATCCATTTTGTACCCTATTGTGATTAGAAAACCAATTCTGCCTTAAGAAACAAAAGCTGCTAATTATTTTAATTAAATGACTTCTCCAATATTTTTAAGGTTGACATCTGGTCCTGAGAACACCCTGTTCCACTATCTGTTTTTGGAGACAATGCAAGGAATCTTTATTACTCCAACTCACAAAGAAGTAGCCCAGCTCGGTGGCTCCATCCACCCTCAGTTAATTGAGAATTTCTACCAGTGCTGCCTTTCAATCCGTTCCATTTTCCAGCAGTCCATGAAGAAAGAGGTATGGAAATTTGGATTTCTCTTTGTCCAATCACATTCTCAATTCAGTATTTCTAGGTTCTTTTCACTTCATCATTTCAGTGGTTCATGAGCAGCTGTATTTGCATGTCTGCAGACTCTAAACTAAAGTGGAATGGTGTCAGTTGTATTTTTTAGATCCTAAAGTGACAATTCAAGTGAGTTAAGTGAGAAAAGGGGAAATAACAGTACAGACTGCATGAAGGCAGGTTTACAAATAGCAGCATGGTTTTTCTTAATGTTTCTTTGATGTTACTGAAGAAGTAATTTGAGTCCCAGCACAGCTTGGCACTGATTGGCCAATGAGCCAAAATAACCCACACCAGAAACCAATGAAACAATCACCTGTGGGTAAACAATCTCCAAACTCATCCCACATGAGCACAACACAGGAGAAGCACATGAGGTAATTATTATTTTCCTTTTTCTCTGAGGCTCTCTCTTTTCCATTTCTGGCTAGACCCATGTGCCTTGTAAATCTAGGAATTTTCAAGTGTTAAAAATAGTGTTAATTTGGTGGATTGGTCACATGGCACTGGGGTTTGGCTGAGTAGGACTTTGGCAATGAGCCATGTGTTTTGGGCATTTCTGTTGGGAGATGCAGAAACCCAAAAGCAAGCAGAGAGAATGAATGAGTGTATCTTGGCATCAAATTGCCTTTGGCTATAGCTATTAAATAGACATTTTATAGTTCAAGTCATAAAAACTGGGAATTAGAAATAACTGATGGACATGTCTCTTTCAGCAAAGTTTGCTGTAGTTTTTTGCAGGTTGGCTCTAGCAATTAATGCTGAAATTGGCAGGTTGTATTATGGCACAAGGAGAATGTTAAAGAATAAATAGAAATTTGCCTTTTTCATTGTACATGATAAAAAATCAAATACAGATCTGTGCTATTATACTGTGTGTTCTTTGTCATCTGCTAAATATTGTTACAGTTCGGGATCCAGAGAGCTGCACCAGTAATGCAAAGTTACTGTAAACTGATCAATAATTAATTTTTCCTCTATTTTTGAGAGCTGAAAAGTCACAATTTAACTTTTAAAATGTGTACAGGAGTCTTGAATAAATCTTAAATTTAGCAAAGATAAGCTCAGTGGTCTTAAACCCTAAAATATGATGGTTTTGACCATGTTTTTTAGATCTTCAGTCCCTATATCTTCAATATTGTAGGCAGGTTGAACAATGTGGTTTCTCCATCTGCATGTGGCAGCCAGAAATTGTTTTCTAAATTCCTTGTTTTCTAAAAGCACCTTTTCTTTGACCTTTGAAGCAATTGTTTCACTAGCAGATCCAGAGATGAACTGCAACTTTTGCAAGGTTTATTCAAAAGCTCTGCTCAAAACACAGCTCATTTTTGTGTTTGAGAAAACATAAAAATGTCTTTATTTTCTATGCTTTTATGCCCTCATACTAAGAGTCAGAAAATGCTCTGAGCAAAGTGCTTCAGCTGTTTATTTACAAAAAAATTCCTGCCTGGTCAAGTTTGCTTAATAGACTTTTACTATCACAGTTCTTCATTAGGGAGTCACAGAGAGAAGGAAAGATGAGAGCTTTAGCTGTTGTAGCACACTTTTTAAAGTGCTGTAGTAACTCAGATGTCTTATTAGAAAAACAGTGTTTAGCTTGAAAGGAAAAGTCAAAAAAAGGAGCATATGTTTAATTCCAACTTGTGTAACAACAGAAAAGCCTTGTGATGCCCAAATAACAAAACTGTGGAGAAAAGAATCATGTAAGCAAGTCAGTTCTATCTCCTAAGCCTGGCTTTTTGACAGCAGAGTCACCCATCAGGGAGCCCTGAACAAATCACACGCTTGTATTTGCCTGTGTTTATGTCACAATGTCTCATTCTCTACTAACATTTCACCAGCTGTTTTACAGAAAAAGAAGGCAGGCAGTGGGATTTCAGATTTCAGTAAGGCAGCTGAGGACCCAGGGCTGGTAAGAGAACACGGACTCCTGTTTGAGTGCTCTCCTGAAAACTGGACTGACCAGAAGAAACCACCACCAACAATGAACTACTGGGTTGTGGGGTAGGTTTGAAGACAAATTTCACCTCCAGTTTTTCATTTGGACTATGCCATTGTGTTCTTGAAAAATAAATTTAACTGTAGCACGTCACTTGAGCTGACTTGAGGAAGCTTTAATTTAAGGGCACTGAGAAGTTGCACTGATGTGAATTTCCACCTTTAACAGCTGCTGAGTCAATGGCATAAATAAATAAGGTGACAGTTATAATTACTGTTATATTCTAAAAGAGGCTCTTTCATTGGGAAGAAAAATCTTTCAAGAGAAAGAAGAAAAATAATTGTTTCCCAGCCTGAATGTACGTAACTGCTGTTTGTGTGGAAAAAAATTAAAACATTGAAAAAATGTTTATACTATTGTTGATGCCTTTTAAAAAATAATTATAATAAGAGCTCCTCTATTTTAGCTCTTTCCCTAGGAGCCCTCATTGGATTAATATGTGGAAATGTAACTACCCAGATGTTATTACATTTAAAAATTAGTAAATATGTGAATCCTGGGGCTTGCTCCCAAGGACCTTGATTGCAGCTTGTACCCCACAGGCTTGGATTGCTGCAAACAGACCCAGAAGATCCTGAAAACCTGAAGATTTTTTTCCCTACACAGTCTTAAAAAAACTGAGTAGAGAATAACTTGGTTTTAAAATCCAGTATATTGAAAGAGGTGAAGTAACACAGGACAGACACCAAAATTTGCCGACTGTCTTACACAGCAGCTTGTTTTAACTTCCTGCTGAAACCTTGCAGTACAACCAGAATCTACCATTTGGGGAGGAAAAAAAAATAACACTTTTGATGATTTTCTTCTTTTTATTCTTTTTTTTTTTCCCCAGGAGACTCATTCTCCATCCCAAGCCTCAGGAGTGTTACGTGTGTTTCCATGACTCAGTGACAGAAGCTGCTGTGGAGCTGGCCTTTAAGCTGTCCTTTGGCTTAGCTGCATAGCTGAGCTTCCTGCACACTCAGGCATCCTGCAGGGTGGTGTTCATTCTTTAAAATATCCCATGTCAAGGGAAATGAGCTCAGTTTGGGTGCCACCCATGGGGCATCTTTGAAATGCTTTAAAAAAATCAAATACTTTGTGGTATGAAGCAGTTAAAACTTCAGTGGTGCTTCTGATGAGCTCATCAATGGAATGCTTATTTTCAGAGAACCAAAGTTCCTATTTTTATATGCTGTCACTTTTTTTTATCCTGGTCCTAACTTTATTATATGAAAACACCACATCATTTGTCTGTTCACTGCTGTTCAGTATACAATATGCAACATAAAATGGTAAGCTGATCCTCAAAGTACTCTGTGAACATGGAAATTGGTGGTGGAGGAAAAAAAATTCTCCAGTAACTTTAAATTTTGCACCTCTGAGAGGCTGGAAAACACTGAATGTTTTCAGTAGCATTGTGTTAATCAAAACAGAGAGAAATCTTTAAGACAATTCCTGGCACTTAGCCTCACAAAACTGATGGTTTAGTATTTTCGCTGTCCTGGACACTTGAGGACTATAGTGTGGTTGGTGTTTTACTTGACTCCATGAGTTTTACCTATAAATATTACTTAAATTTGTTCAAATGCAATTTTGAAGACCCTAAAAAAGAAGGGGAGTGGGCAGGGTGGTTTTAAGATGTGCATGGACTTGGCTGATTTTATATTCATAATTTCATAATAAAAATGAAATGTATTTGTTAAAGAACAGTAAATTAAGCTTGATTTTTTTCTTTTTTTACTTAATGTATTTTCTCTTTTGTTTTATTATTTTATTCTAATTGTTTTTCATGAGTGCTTTTCATAAAATGCATAACTAGAATTGCATTTCAAGCAACGGGATCAAAAAGTTTAAGTGTTCAGGAAAGCAAATTTAATTTCATGGGTTCTCATGGCCAAATCTTTAGATCTTGTTCTCACTAGCAAAGGACACCGTTTGGGGTAGTCCTAAAACAGTCAATCAAATGCTTGCAGTGCTCACAGGGTGATTCACAGCTTGTCTTCATCACTCAGCACTTGCTTCAGTTCCAAGCAGCAGAAGTCTTGGGCCTGAAGTGCGAGCTGTGATTGAGGACTTTGCTAATCAGCTTTCTCCAGGATTTATGGCTCCTAGCAGATGAGCAGCAGCATTTCAGTCTGAGCCTACAAATCACAGCAGCAGTGGGTTAGCTCTGTTCTCAAGGTATAAATCAAGTGATGGGAGAGTTACTCTGCTGCACCTCTCAAAAGTCTGAAATGCCTGAGGTTTGGCATTAGATCGTCCCATTCTCGGCTGTTTTTGATGGCCTGGAAAGGCTCGGGATGGCCTTGGGACAGCCCGCGCTCCAAAGGACGAAAGGAGTCTTCAGGTTTTTTCTCGATCTTCAGTGTTAATTAATTTTTATCTACAATATTTTCTCTTGGCCTGACAGAGGTCTGCACAGCAAGTCAGCCATGAGCACACTGACCTCCCTCGGGGCGGTCACTTATCTTTATACCAAAAACTACTAGTAAGATATTTACCTATTCTCCCCAATACCTTTCACCCTTATTGACAAGTGCACATTCAGTAAGAACCAATCCCAAAGTGCCACCACCTCCACAGAAGATGGACGACAAGAAGAAGGAGGACAGGACACGCCCTAATTCCTCCATCTTGTCTCCTAGAACCCCCCTGTACTGAAATTCTAAAACCTGAGTTTCACACTATAATTAACCTATCCCTTCACCATTTATCCCAGTGTGATCCTCCCATCCTCATACAGGTGTTGTTTCCTGTGCAGGATCAAAGTCCAGCCACCAGACACTTCTGGCACATTCCAGGACCTCTGAGCCCGCCAAGGGTTGTCTCGGTGACTCTGCACATCAGGACTGCTGTGCTGAGATCCCACATTAGATTTCCTGGTAGATGGAAGAAGAAACCTGGAGGAAAGCAAGCTTGCTGCAGTGCTTTCAGCTGTTTATCTTAATGTCCAGGAGAACCCTTTCTTGAATTTAGACGAATAAAGTAATTCTAAAAGTGCCACCGAGTTTCTGATAGCTGTATCAGCTGTCAGGCATTGCTTTAAGATGGAGTGTGAGCACCCTCTCTGTCAGCCAAAATGCACGGGGAGGCTGCTGCAGGACAGCAATGTCTGGTTCACTTGTAGATTGAGATTTTCTAGTGCTAACACCAAATTCATACACTGTTGGGAAGTTTCAAAATAAATCCAGATTTCCAAATGGAAGTCCTTGAAAAAGAAAGGCCCTGAAAAGGAAGATTTTTGGCCTTTGTTGCAGCTCATACCAAATAGAAGAGATATTCTATAATATCCTTGGTATAGTATAAACTTTGGAAATGTCAACATCTCTAGTTGTTTTTTAAAATCCATTTCTTTCTCTGTAGAATCTCTGGCACTGTATGGCAAATGTGACACACTATTTCCCAACACAGGCTCTAAAGGTTGCTTTTAAGGACAAATGCAAACATATTTTTCTGTCCAAAGGGGATAAAGGATAACAGGTAAAAAAAATCTTTTGCATATTAATTTTAATAAACAAAATAGATCTGGTCAAGAGCTGTGCACTTCTTTCCCTCAGCATGGCTGGTAATTAGTGGTGGTAGAAAGAGGTAGGTTTCCTGTGTAGCCTGTTGTTACAGCAATAAAATTTGGGTTTGATCTTAAATGATTGATGACTTTGAGGTGCCTGCAGATGCCCCTCCATTCAGATGGATTCTTGAAAGGCACACAGGCCAACACACCCGTGGAATTAATGACAAGGAATCTTGGTCTTGGAATATGGAGTGTTGATACTGGCATTTGGCAAATTGCATAAAATTCATTCATGTCAGCAGAATGGAAAATAAATTCTTCATCTCTGGTTTGTTTAATGTGAAAATAGATGGAAAATCTGCTTCATTTGTCTCTGTCTTAAGTTATCTCTTTCAGGATTTCTTTGATTAGGTTTTGATAATGTAAACAAAAATCCAGTGTTCTGTGTTTTCTCTTATTGACAGTTCTTTACTACAGTGCCAGAAAATTTCCTTGCCACAGGCTTTTCTGGTAGTGTTGACCAGGAGGAATTCTGTCAGTCACTAAAGTTTGATTATTCTCCTGATATCACATGCAAATTCTTAAGCAGTCCCTTTTCAATTACAGTCATTTGTGTGTGAAGAGTTTAAGGTTGTTTTCTTTCTTTACTTATAGTGGAAAACAGTGAAACAGGCATTGTGTAAATAACAGTGTTTATAGTTCTTAAAATCTCCTGGAAGTGCTTCCAGATGGCTCACATGTGTATGTGAGCTCAAGACTCAAATTTTAGAAACATTCCATGAATAACACTCAAGATTAATTTCCTTAGGAGTACAATATTGAGCCAAGTGCCATATCCACTGTTGAAGCTCAGGGTCTTTGGATGCTGTCTTATATGTTCTGCTCAGGTCAAGAAATGGGATACTACAGCTGCAGTTGTTCCCAAACTGGCAAATAAAAAGTGATTTTTGGGTACATCCATATGGTCTGCATTTACTGCTCAAGATGTGCCCCTGATGCAGATAAAGGCAGCACAGCTATGTCAGAGCTGTGAAAACTTATGTAAAATGTTTCCCCTACTGTGATCAACTTGTACCAGTGCAAAGATAAAAAAAACCTCATTGTAGGAATTGCTCTGAGACTGCCGTGTTTCCTGATTATTTTGTAAATAGTGTTTTGGACAGATCTTGTTCTTGGTGCTCTGAAGTTTCACTTAGTAGAAAGGTCAGTATTCTAACAATGTCATGCTGTGTTTTCATGGCTGTATGCAGCAATCTTTGTGTTTCAGTTTGGGCAGGGCAGCAGGAGCCAGATCCACTGAGATCAGCTCAGTTGTCAGAGCGTGCTGCTCCTACAGGGGAAGGCAGTGAAACCTCAGCTTTACCTTACCAAAGAAATGGGTTTTTGTAAATGTGCCTCAGGTGTTATATTTACTTCATTCTAGAGGCAGACCAATGCACAATAGTATTAGAATCCTTTCTGGTACTTAAAAATTTACCAATGTGCGATTAGAAGCATAAAAGTAATAAGAAATGCACAATCCTTAAAGAAAAGGGTGAAGTGGAGTGAAAGAAAATTCCCTGGAAGTAGTGCTGAGCACAGCTCAGCATTTGTTTAGATTCTGAAATTTTGCATTTGTTTAGATTCTGGAGGGAAAGGTTTTAACTGGATTTTGGCAACTTTGGGTGCAGAAACCAGAGGAGTTTGGCTTTTCCTAACTCAAGGTGTTATGGGGTGTGATTAAAAGAATTAATGAGCATCCTTGTTCTGTATCAAGAATATCAACTGAAGATTTTCTCAACTGGAGATGATTTCTGGGTAGTTTGTCTCTAGATACATTTCATTCATTCAAACAGGTAGAATTATTTCCTGAAAAGCATATCTGGAAGGTTTTGCAGTACAGAGAGAAATCTCTGCTGTCTCTGGGGCTGTTGGCTTTCCTGATTTGCCTGCAATGGACAACTTAACTCTGGTTCTTGTCTGTGCAAGGTTATGCCAGGAATTGGCTGCTTTGCTTCACCTGTTGCTCCCTGTGCCTTTTACTTGGGCTGAATTAATAATTTTGTGATGCCTTTGGTATAAGGAGGTACACAGTTTGGAGTTCTTCCTTCAAAGGTTACTTTATTGCCTGCCATGTTTTCACCTGTAGAGAATCCCAAGAGCTGGAAAACAGATTTTAACTTTTTTATAATTTTAATTTTAACTTTTTTAACATTGTCACACAGGTTTTTTAATTTTTGCTCCACTATAGGGAAAAGCTGCAACAAGTAATGCTTCTTATAGATCTGAGCAAGAATGTATGGGGAGGAAGTGAAATCTTGCTATTCCATAGGAAAAAATTCTTTGCAGAGAAAAAGGAAGAGAATTTGATCCTCAAGGATTCTGCTGGAGGACAGCAGCTTTGGAATGGCAGATATTTGAGCTGGGAAGCGTCTCAGCAAATGGAAGGCACTACCTGTGGGAATACTCTGTCTTCACCCCTCCAGGTCTCTATGCTTTGTTAGAAATGAGACAAAGCAGTGATCTCCTCTGTTTGAATGTCTCAGCTCTGCAGGCTGGCTGTGCTGAAAAGCAGAGTGCCTGCATGCATAACAATGTGCATAAATTTCTTTTCTATTAGGTGCTGCTGAGCAACAGTTCCAGGAACTGGGCACTGGATTATTACAAATACAAATACAGATGGGCTGCCTGGCCTGTGCAGGGATTGGGGAGCTCAGTACAGGGGATTGTTGTGCCTTCAGTTTTGGATGTTATGGACACCACTAAGGGAGCTTTTACAAACAGAAATGAATACCTTTTAAATCTTTATCATCATGTTTATTAAGAATTCATGAGGGTGTTAGCACCAGCTTTTCCATTTACAGTTATTTGTGCCTGAGAGACTATTACTGAAGGGCCAAGCCATTCTACAGTAGCAGAAATTGATAAAAATGACATTTCTAATCCACTGGATTTTACAGAACTTGTACAGGCTTCCACTTTTGTTTTGTAGAATTATATTCAGTTCACAGCTTGGTGAAAACTTTCAGTAGAAAACTAGGATGGGTTTTCCTACTCAGAGCCAGGTGTTTGGAGTAGGGCAGGTTTGTGGATAGCATAATTTTACTAGGTTGTTCAG